CGAGGGAGGCGGGCGCTCACGACGCGTTTGCGCGGGGGGACTTTCCCCACCTCGGCGGGAGGCCTGCGTGCGGGCGGGTCGCTCCCGGACGCCCCCGGAGCGGCGTCTACAAGCCGTCCGGCCGCTCCGCCCGCCTTCGCCCCGCGCCGGCCGGAGGTGGTCGCCGCTCGCCACAGCCGAAGGGGCCGCCCGCAGCGCGTATCCCGGCCACCAGCGCCGAACCGGCTTCCGACAGGGCGGTGATGGAACCGGGCTCCCGCGGGTGGGGCCGAGGCTAGCGCCCCGGAGCGGAGCGGAGCGGCAGCGCGAGACAGCCAAGGTAACGCGGCGAGGGCGAGGGCGCGGGCGGGGGAGGGGGTCGCCGGTGAGGCTGACTACCCGGCCGACGCCGCGTCCCGGCGGCCGCTTCCCGGAATCGCGCTCCAGGCTCCGGTACCTCCCGCGGGACTCCTTCCCTTCCGCCTCCCTCTGGGCAGAGGAGGCTTTGGCTTTGCAGTGCCCCCGCACCCCGCAGCCTTGGGGGTCGTTTAAGGGTCGTCCCCCGCGGCCTCCTCTAGTCCTCGTCCCACCTGAGAGCTCCTTTCTTTGCTCCCAGCCCTGCACATCCTCCCCCCGCTCTCCCCCCCCCCACACCCCCAGCAAGGATGCCAGGGACACCCGGGCATCTGCCGCTGCAGGATGTGAACCGTCTTGAGTTTGAGCGTCAAAATCCTTGTGTTACCCCTGCAAAAATGGGTTACCCGCTCGGGCCTCTGGTTGGGACTTGGGCCTGTCCTCCAAGAGAACAAACACCCGAAATTAACCATGCTTTGTTCCCGTGCGGAAGAGGGTCCCAGAGGGGCAACCGGGGCTGGAGTGCCCTACGTCCTTCCAGATCCACCGCGTGGAAGCTGGAGAGGGGAGGGGGGCATATCGCGGAGACAGAGGAGCAGACGCCCCTCCAGGGTCGGGAGGCAGTGAGCAACTGGTGCGAACACGTTTGCCTTGCAACTCAGGGCAGATCAGCCAGCTAAACCCAGCCGAGTTCTGGCAAACAACTTAATGTGTCTAGCGATGGGAAACTCTAGATATCTGGCCTCCCTTTTTTTCTTTGAATATTCCTTTCGTTTCCTTGTTTTTGTTTGACAAGAGGTCTTAGAAACTAATATGACTTGCCTGAGGGTCCGATCTGAGCGGGACGAGTTGGGAGGGGCAGACGCAGGTGCAGGGAGTCCTGGAGTGCGTCTTTCCTCCACACAGTGTCATGCTACACAGGCCCGCTGGCCCACCCCCACCCACCGACACACACACACATACACGTTTGCTGTTCAGGCTTAGGAAGTAAAGACAAAGCGAGAGGCCTTATGAAAATCTGCTCTAAAGAAAACACCTGGTCAACTTTCCTAGCAATATGAGTATATTTGATGCGATTTGACCTGTGAGTCCCAGGAAATGACTTGAACTTGTAAGCTCTGTAGTTCACAAGTTGTTTTTCAATTTTAGATGATGAAAAATCTACATGGCTCTTTTATTCGTACCTGTTTATCCTCTAAAGTTTCTAATGTATTTATTTAAAAGTGAATCTGCCCCAAATTTGGTTCCTATAATTTGACAAATGGCAATTTGCCTAAAAAAGAAAAATTAGGAGAAGAACCGTCGCACCAGATTTACTGTATTGGAAGTGAAACTTTTATTGAAATATATATTCCATCCTTCCCACTTGTACACACACAGCTACTATTACATTTATAAACCATCAAACTTTTAAGAGTCAACAGCATGTATATTCTTTGACCATCAGCCATTATATTTTACCAAAACTAAAATGCTGTTGAGTATAAGATGCACTTTCATTTTATGTCACCAAGAAAGAAAAACCAGTGTCAGTTACACT